CTGAACTTTGATGATATAAAAAGTAATTAAAATTGTTGTTGTATGTATTCCTTATATAAAATTGTAAATATATATGTTATTAAATAAAAATATATGTATAATAATAACAATAATAATTTTTAGTTTTTATTTGAAACTGACCAAATATTTTTTTAATGCTCATTTTAGTTTATTAGCTAAAATGCAATTTAATATTTTGTTAAGGTGACAATCGTAGTGCACAAGCAAAATGGTAATTGCCTTTTAAAAATTGAGTTTTCTTTATTTAATGTCTGTTGCAATAAAAATTAAAGACATTTAAAATATGAGAATACATTTGTGATTTTTATTTTATTGAAAATTACAACTGTTTTTCTGGTTTTGTGTAAAGTTAAAATTTATCTTGTATTATTTATTTTATTTAGAAAAAACTTGTAGTACACAAGTAGCAAACAGTGACAACGGTGATATTGGTTTTTCAGGGATGTAACATTATGTGTTAAGTCTTAAGTTATTTAATGAGTTAGAAATTATATTTTGGTATTTTAGATTGTAATTTGTCAAAAAGTTACATTTTAGTTATAACACATATGTTACTTTAATACAACAGTTTTGATTAAGTTGGGTATTTAATTATAACTTAATTATAAGTGAAGATTGTGGCTTTTGTTTATTTTATTTTTGTTAGTGTTGTAGTGATAACGCTGAAGCGTTATAAAGTCACATTTTAATTCTTTTAATTGGGTATTATTATTAAATACAAATTTTATGTTTTGTTTACCCTTAGTTATATAAAGTAATATTTAATTTGTGACTTTTTATAAATTTATTTGAAAGTTTATTTTTTTTAGTTCAAAAGATAGTTGTCAAAGAAACCAAAGTTAGTCAACTTATTAATTACATAACTGACATTTTTTAAGGATATATACAAGTATTTATTTAAAAAGGTTTATCATACTATAGAAAATGCATTTGAGAGGATAAGATGCTGATTGTAAGTTATATACATATACAGAGGTGTTGTCAAGACAGTAAAGGTCAAGACAAAGACTAAGACCATAACGTTTGTGTTCAAGAACAATACCAAAACCAAGTGTGAATGCTTCAAGACCAAGACCAAAACCAAAATATAAAAAATCAACCTTAGACCAAGACCAAGACTTTAAAAGTTTTTGCTAGACCGGGATCAAGACTTAGGTTCTAAGATATCCAACACAATAAAACACATGCTTACACATGTAAGGAGTAAACAGGTTCTATATGTTGAGCAGCTTACCACCCCTTCTTTATTTATTAGGCTGGCGTAGATGTATTTAAAATACATTGTTTCCAGTTTAGAATGTTGTATGTTTGATCTTCTTAACTCATTACATAGCTTTTGATTGTGCCTCTGTTTTTATGACTAGACAACTCATTCTATTATCTCTTAATGAGAGCACAGCTCAAAAACTCAATTTTATGGTTCTGAAGACAACTGGTAATCAGGTTTTTTAAACTCTGTCGTAGCTCTCAAAAAGACCAATTCTATCTGTAAACAGCTGTAAAGTATTAGAGTACTAACAGTGCCGTGTTGCGCTTGGATCGTGTCCCTGTTCCTACTTTTTGTGTGTATTGTTGAAGCTAGATTTAGAGCCTTTTGGTTTATTTTATCTAGCTTAGGGTTTATCAATAGAAATGAGGCAATTGCTTGGATTATTAGATAGTGTACTAAGTACAATTTGTGCTTTGAGCTGAGTTCTTTAGTCAATTTAAAAAATGACTAAAGTATCGAAAACTATAAAACACAAAAACCATTGTCATAACCAAGTTATCTAATTCTATCAATCACTAATACTCGTGGTCTTTGAAGAAAATGTTCTTCAAAGACCACGAGTATTAGAAATGTTTAATCATCACTTGCAAATATCAACAGACCTACATGCTCTTTGTAAGACTAATTTTAGTTCAGCTGTCTCATTTTGTGATGAGACAGCTGAACTCAAATTAGATAGCGTTGATAGCTATTTTTCTTTAATTTGTAAAGACTCCAATAGTCTCATGCATTTATATTCTTAAGAATTCACACATTTGTCGGGAAAATAGGTTTGAATCCACAGACTATTCTTTTATGTGCTTTCGTTTAGCTCTATTTTACTCAATCACCTTTCACTATGTTCTATATTGCTTTCTTCATCTCAAGATTGCACTCTTTTTGATGTTAGTTCTGATCAAATTAACCAAGCCCTCTCTTTAACCTTCAGGTAATATCGTTCTTGTTAGTGAATTTATTGATCGTCACACTGAATGGCTTGGTTCTAGTGTCAGTGACTCTGCAAGTGTTAAAACCTACAACTTTTGCCTTTCTAAATCTCTAACATAAATAGTCAACTTTCCTATTTGCTTTCCAAACAATCTGAATCATTTACCTTTTTTACTCAATTTATGTGTTGTTTTTGATCCTAGTCAGTGCTCAATTTCTTCACATTCATCCTTAGGTGCTTCTGATCAAGGTTTGATCTCTCTAAAAATTTTATCTCTTTCTTCTTCATCATCAAAAACCCTCTACCATTATACGTCTTTTATCTATTTTAAAGCTGACTGGAACTCTTTCCGTGATTTACTTAGTGATGGCCTTTGGGTAGAAATCTTTTGTTTTCCTGATGTGCTACTTATGTATCTTCTTGGATTCAGGCTGGTATAGAATCTTTTATTCCCTCTCGACAACTCCAAGTCAAGCCTCACCCAACTCCATAGTTTTCCACTCATTATACTGCTTCAGTTTCAAATAGTAACCGTTACTTCTACATCTATCGTTAAAACAATTCTCCAGAAAACAAACGACTGTTTACTATTGCTAAAAACAACTGTGAAGTTTTGTCTGACGCCAAAGCCCGCTATTCTCATGTCATGAAATCTTGTATTTCATCTTAAAAATTAAGCTCCCAAGACTTCAAGAGAATCTTTAACAGTGTCTATGATAAGGGCAAATTTGTCATTCCACATCTCTTACATGGTTCAGATTTTGTTATTTTACCTCAAGACAAAACTGAGCTGTTTTCTAAACGCTTTTCATCAATCTCATATCTTGATTCCACTAATCACATCCTACCTGATATAGCCGAAAAACAGGTTGATCAATTGTTTGACATTCGTATCACTCCAGCTTCTGTATCTAAACTAATTTCCAGCTTAGACTCTTCTACACCTTTTGGTCTAGACGACATAACTGTTATCTAAATTTGTAACGGAAACAAAAATAGCTTAAAAAAATACTAATTTAAGGGGGCTAAACGCAAATCTGATATTAAAAAATTTTGTTTAGCTCAAATTTCAAAGTTATTGCTAGAGGTCCTGTCGATTGACTTCATCGTTTTTAATTAAATGTGACAACTTCTTCTTTGATTGTTTTCTTTGTGTCGTGTTTTTTATGCAATTTAGTTGTATTATCTGTATTATTAACTAATACAATATTCAAATATTCCTAGAGTCTTACAACCAGTGCCCCTTTGTGAAGGTCACCTTGAGCCAGACCCACCAATTATTTAAGAAAATTTATCTAAGAGCAGGACTGAGCTATTAGGATTCAGATTGCAACAGTGGAATCTACTTAAAGACGGTGTTAGAATAAATGTATTACGCAGCAGACACAGTCAGTTTGATCCGTATTTTTCAATGGCAGAACCAGTTATCTATTATCATGTGGCTGGTTTGATAAATGAACTAAAAAATCAAGAATGTAAACTGTTTATAGGGTTGATGGAGCACCTCAATTAGAATTAGGCTGATTACTGTTAAACAATAGCAAGAGAATGTTTAAAATCTGTGTAAAAGCGAGCATAAAAACGCCCTAGATCGTCTAACGTGAAATGATAACACCTTTTCTCCTGCAATTTATGTATAATACACGCATAAATTTTTTATCGATACATTGCATAAAAACTAGAGCTTACACAGCGATTTCAATATTTGAACTCAGCGTGAAAAACTGAAGCATAAAAATATAATTTTTGCTGTTACACATAATAATTAAAATTTGTCTAGTGTTACTTGTTAAAATAAATAAAAAATTACTGTCGTGTGCAGTAAAATAGTAGTGCATATTTTATTTTTCTATCAACAAACTTTGAACATCAAAATATATTTTTTTATTGTTTGTTTTTTATCGTTATTGTTCACAAACTAAATATTGTAATTATAATATTATAAAAAAAAGTTAAGAAAAATAATTGCAGCACTGCATGGTTTTAAATTTTAATGTTATCGATTGAAGGTCATTCGTATTTTTTTTTAGACTGCAATAAAATAGTTGTGAAAATCAAACAATAGAAAAATATATTCCGATGTTTAAAGTTTATTGATAGAAAAATAAGATACACACTACTATTTTACTGCACACGACTGTAAATGTAATCCGTTTCTAGGCGTTTTTTTCGTTACAATCTGGTATTTGGCCAAATAGTTTGCAATATTTGGCCAAATACCGAATTAGTAAAAGTAGTCGATAATTTGTGACATAATTCTTTAATAAAATTAAGAAACACCTCTTAACTCTCTACAACTTTAAACAAAAAATAATCAAAATTTTCTTTCCCGTAAAAAATAATTTAATACAAATTTTTTGAAAATCTTTTAACTATTTTATTTGCCCCAATTTATTCTATTAAATACTAACAACTGAGAGAGCCGTGTTGTTTTGACTGGTCTTAGTTTTAGTAACTAAATATAAATATATTTTTATAAAGAACCTACAATAAAAAATAAAAAAATAAATCTAGAACTTTGTTTACATTTGTTTAAATATTTGATTTGGGTAATGTATCAAATACAGTGCATTAAAAATAATTTTTAAATATTTTCATGTTTTAGAAATGTTTTCATTTTTTAGAAGAGGGAGGGGGTGGTAAGTAGCGGTATCAAAAAATTGTTCTACTGGGCATTATTAAATCTTTGTGCACCCATGATTTTATCAAATATTATTTGTTTATTGAATAATTTTCAGGACATGCCGATTTCTAAATTAAAATAATATAATTAAATAAATATTATGCAATTACTAATTATTTTTTATTTGGCGGGAACAATTACTAAAAAGACGCCAGAAATATTTGAATAATTTAAAAATGAAAAAATTAAAGTCATTTTCAACGTCATATTAATGTTCCACATCGAAAATATTTTTGTAACTTAGTAACTATGTAGACATTCCTTATAAAACTCATCTAAATCTTAACAAAAATGCATCCAAATGATTGAGATCTTTATTATTGAAATTCCTCTAGTTCTTTGGACTTAGTTATCCAGTCTGGAAAAACTTTAAAGAAACTTTTCCTTAAGTTTTCGTAGCTTTCTAATCTATGCTTGGCATCATAATAGTTTATGTGTTCTATACCAGAGATAGATAATCTATAAATATTTAAAATATTAACATTATAATGATGTAATAAAAAATTGAAAAAACGGAAAACATAAAAATAATTAAAATTAAATTTTTACTTGGAACTAAGTCTTTTAAAATCTTCAAACAAAGATGATTTGCAAACTGATGTTCTAAAAAAATGCAAATATAATTTCAAGTGACTATATTTAGTCACATATATTATAACTGCAATACATATCGCAACCTATCCGTTTCTATATGTTTAAATCTCATAAAGTCTGTATGACGTCATTAGATGCACTTAGTGTGATAAAAAAAGTAAAAGCGTTTAATAAGTAATCGTAAAAACGGAAACTGCTAGCAATACCGTACCATTAAATGAGTATGTTTGCGATTCAACTGAAAGAGCGTGGTCAGTTGAAGTTACAGATTAAACAAATTATAAGATTAACTCATTATTATAGAAAAAGAAAACACATGTACATGGCAATACATGAACATGGCAATCAAAAATAAAAACAAAATAAACTAGTGCCTGAAATGTACCAAATTGCCTAAAATCTAAAACTAAAAGAAAAATAAAGAGGCTGTTTTTGAATCTGCTACCAAACCTTTGTTTTAGATAATGGCATCCTCCAACTCCTACGCATTAAGTTACCAAGGCGTTGACATTGTGCGGATATAACGTGCCAACCCTTGTTTCCATAACTGCTGATCATTATTTGAAATTTTAAGGGAAAAAGCAGCGTGAAAAAGCAGCGGAAACTGCTTTTTTAAACGTTTCCTTTAAAATTTCAATGGGGTCGATGTCGCGAGACTGAGCAGATCATTTTATAACCTTAACATGTTGACCTAAAAACAATTATGAAGCTACGAAACTAATATCATGGAAAACAATTTAAATTATATGTTTATGACTGCTGTTATTTATAAGGCTATAAATTTATGACTGTTATAAAACAGTATGACTGCCACAATTTATTAGAATTCCCTAGAGATAAAAACAGCTGTTTCCGAGTAGTCAAAACAGTTCTTAGATTAAACATGCACGACATGGTCATATATTATATAGCAAAAAAAAAAACAAAAAAAAAACACAAAAAAACAAAAACAAAAAAAAATACGGAAATGTTACATTTTGAGGAGACATAAAAAAGGTAATAAATAAAAAATGATTCATGTTTTTTATTTACCATTATGAATATACTTTAAATTTAGTAGTAATTAGAAAATATACGCATATTTTAATTTAATTAATTTTTCAATTTTTATTTAAGTAAGGTTGATTGATATAATAAGTATTTTTGAGATGTTTTTATATATAAATAAAATTTATTTTACATACCGAATTTTAGAAGTGTTAAAATCTTTTTTAGTTGTCCCATGTAAACGACCATTTGCTGAAACTTCATGAATATTACATATTTGACACCAAAGGATAGCTAAATTAAAAAAAATTATCTTTATTTACTATTATCATATACAGCAACTGCAAAGAACTTTTATGATCATTAGTATCATTAAATATTTATTAAGGAATAATGTTTTGAATACTAAGATCTTTTTTAAGACTAAGATCTAATAAGCTGGGTAATCAAGTCTGATATGCTGATTAACAGTCTAATAAGTTGAGTAATATGCTAATTAATTGAGTCAATATGCTAAGCAAATAAGTCTAATAAGATGAGTAATTGAGGTCAATACACTAAAAAACTGACTCTAACAAGTTGAGTAATACTATTTGGTTAATTAATATTATTAAAAAATACCCCAAATTTTTTATATTATTTATTATTAAACCATTTATTACTCATTTTAATTTGATTATTATGTAAAATTTTAATTTTATGTAGCATTTTAATTTTATGAAACATTTTTGTTTAGTTTCATACTTTTGAATTTCTAGAAAAATTTATAAATTTTAAATTTCATTTGATAATACATTTAAGTTATATCACATTAATTTTTTAAGACATTATTAATGATTTATAAATTACCTGTTCCTGAAGGTGTTATTTTTCCGGTGTTTGTCTTACATTTGACAGCCTCTTTTCTATGTTCAAACAAATATGTTGTATGTAAAATTTCAGGCACATGTATTGCTAAGTTTTCAATATTTTCCCTGTTTCGAAGTGAAAGCGATCTCTTGATAGCAGCTATATCAAATTGAACATTTGCAATAATTATGGAGGATAAAAAAATGCTTTTTTGTATAAAATTCTTTAAAACTCCACCTTGCAGACCTAACACACACCATTTCATGATTTTATCTGAGCAAGACATAGAAACTGTTTGATCACCTCGACCAGGTTTAATGCGCAATGCACTAACTACATGATAATTAATACCAGGCAGCATTAAATCTTGATTTCCTGATGGAACACATTTAGCACCAGTACGGTTAATATCAAGTTCAGTAACACAACGTTCTTTCATAAATTGTGTGGGTTCACTTAAAACATCGCAAGTTTTATATCGTTTACACATTTTTGCTGTGCACTTTGCATCAAAGTTTGAATCACAAGAATCTGTAATTTCATCTTTTTTTTTCTTATGGCTATTGGTATTATCATCTGTGTATTCACACTTTCTTTTTTTTGAGTTTTGGAAAAAAATAGCAGCATCCCCACCTTAAAAAAAATATACTGTTATTTATATGCATTTTTCAAATAAAAAAAAAAAAAGGGAAAAAAAAAAAAAAAAAAAAAGGGACGTGGGGAAATTTCTAAGCTATTTTGGTGTTTAATATTCTAGGTATTACATGCATATTTGGCACTAGTATGAACATGTCATTTATGTACCATAAATACTTTTTATTAAATCTTATTTGATTTTCTACCTGAAGAAAATTAAGTAGATTACCTGTCATGGCTATCGCTTAGGGATCGTCAATAAAACACGCATCGCTAAATTCAAATAATAGACAAAGCAAAAAAAAAAAACTTTTCCATGTTTTTTTTCTTTTTTTTTTTTGTATTTGTTTTTTCAACTTAATGTTATTAAAATTATATCTGTGAGCCTTTCTTTTATTGAGTTTAAAATAAGTATTAATTTGAACTTTATTAATAATAATTTTTGCAAAAATCTAAGTTAAAATTTTAAAGCAAAAATTCAAAATGGTAGATCAATATTAAATTTAATCTATCAATATTAAATTTAATTAATCAAAAAAAAAATAAAAAAAAATAAAAAAAAATAAAATAAAGATCCTTAATTATAAAAACTCAGTTATTGTAATAAAAATTTCAAATTTAATATATAAAAAACACAAAAATTAGAAATAAAAATGTTTGAAAATGCGTATAAAAATTAATAGATTACATGGAATATCAGTAGAAAACAAATGAAACTTAATATCATCTTTCAATTCAAATGATCTTGTTTCAACACCAGAACAAGTAAAAATACTTTTGTCACTGTTTAGAAGGGAAGCCTCAAGTTGTTGGTAAAAGTACCTAAAAATACCAATAATAAAACATCATACCATATAAAATATAGCAAAGGCAAATTAAATTGATACTTGTCACAATAAAATTTTAAAAACAATCATTCAAAAGTTTTAGAGCATGTGGTGATGGCAACAAGTGGTGATGGCAACAAGTTGTATTGCAGAAAATGATGATGGTATTGAAAAAGCATTTAAAAATTTCAGCGGTTATGAAGGTTATGAATTTAAAACAGTGGCTAGCGGATTTTAATAATAAATTTGTTATGTTGATAATTTTTACAGCAAAATATTTTTTGACTTTAAATAGAGATTACAGTTAAAAACTATTTACAAAATGCATTAAATATTTTCAGATTGTTTGATGTTTTGTGTCCATCAATTTCAAAATATGTAGAAAGCTTAAAGTTTTTTTTTTAGAAGGATAAACTTTTTTTTATTATAGACCAGAGCTGTTCTAGTTAAATGTTTTGTTAACTAGAGTTTAATTATGCTTACTTTGAAATTTTTGATCAAAAAGTTGTGACATTGATTTACTTTCACAGCATAAAAATGTGAAAAACACAAAATTAGAAGTGTTAAAATCTTTTTTAATTTCCCCATGTAAACGAGCATTTGCTGAAGCTTCATATTTGACACCGAATGCAAACACAGCATAAAAATGTTAAAAAGACAATTTTCATGCTGTTTGCATTATTTGATCTTTCATGTACGCGCACACCTGACCTCTAATTCCTTTTAAAATAATAGGAGCATGTACATGGATGACTTGCTTAAGTAAAATTTTTGTATTTTACCATGATTTATTGTTATCATCAAAACTGAAAAATTTCAGTTAAATCTTTCCATAGTACAGAAAGTTTTGGAAAAACAATTTTAAAAATATAAGAGTTCTGGATACAACTTTAAAATTATTTAATATACGAACGCAGCTAATTATATCATGATCGCTAATGTCAATACTATAAATGTCAATACTATAAATGTCAATACTATAATGTCAATACTATAAATGGAAAAGATATTATTGTGAGTGGAAAGACTACTTTTTTAGTAGCAGTACTTTTTAGAAAAATTATTAAATAACACATGAAGAATTAAGTTAAGATTTAAATAAACAAAAGTTTTACAAAACAACTTTTTGTTTTGTTTTTCGAACATTTATTTTTCATGTGTCACTGTGTTAAAAACTAGAACTATAGAAACAAAAATTAATACAAACCTTAGATTAGGTACTTTGCATTAGCATTACTTAATGAAACTAAGGCATGGTACAAGTTTTTTTGAACAAAAATATAAGTTTTTTTAATTACAATATATGTAAGTTTTTTCATCAAAAAGTATGGTGTATTTGGTATGTATAGAATGATTATTTTAGCTTTATTTTAGCTATTTTAGACGATTAACAAATCGTCAAGCATAGTTTTATTTAGAAAAGATGTAACTTTCAACATAAAGTACCTTGGGGCTTGGCTATAGATAAGTCTATGGATTTGATTTTTTCATAAAAGCACATATTAATGTTTGTTTTCAATGAATGTAACGTGACATTTATAGTCAGACATTATTTGGGGAAATTATCAATGAAAAACCATTTTTTTATGAAAATTGAAGTTATTATTTTCAATACCAGACCTAAATGAAAATGTTTAACTATGTCATGTTAGATTCAGATTCACTACTATGGTAGTGTTAATTTTTCTACAAAAGTCATTTTTGCATATTTAATCATAACTTTTAGCCCCATTCAAAGAACTTTTTGGTGTTTAGTATCATTTTTTGAAAAAGCCTGGATTTTTCGGCCATCTTGAAAAAATAATTTATTCCATTCAGAAAGGGGGTAAACTTCATAAATAAATTACTTTTATTTTTAAACTCGTTTTGCTTTTATATAAGTAGTAAACTTTAATTGACATTTTTTTTTATTTTTATAACAATAACTTAAAATATGGTTATTATGGTTTTAGTAATGTATTAAAATAAATACTTTTTGTTGTTAGCACAGTGCAAAATGAAATATATATATTACATAATTCATTCAAAATGCTTTTAAAAATAACATATTTTTTAAAAATATACCAACACAAATGTATTAAATTGTAATTAGGTTCATAAATTATGTCAAACAAACACTTTAAGATATCTTTATACTGATATATCTTAATGATATATCTCCTCAGTGGTGTACACTGGACTTTTAGATGTTTAAGTTTTGACACTTACAGGTATTGTGCAAACTTTAAACCTTTGTATGTTCATGCTTATGTCAAATGAGAATGTTTCGCAAAGAGTTGTGGTGATTAGAGCTTGGGGACAAAAAAACCCCAATTTTCGGGCCCACCCAGCCCTTAATGTGGGAGCAACAAGTTGATAAAATAATTTTTTTAGTAATTTTATCTAATTTTATAATCATCAACAAATTTCAAATTTCATCTAATGATTTCTTATTTTTTGAAAATTATGACTATATAGTTTTAACCCCCCTCAATTTGAGGGAGCTATAAACTTTGTAGGGTCATAAAAACTAAAAACTAAGAGGTTATTGCATGAAATTTGAAACTTGTTGATGAATATAAACTTAGATAAAAATACTAAAATAATTATTTTATCAACTTGTTGCTCCCACTTTAAGGGCTGGGTGGGCCCGAAAATTGGGTTTTTTATTTGTCCCCAAGCTCCAATCACCACAACTTTTTGCAAAACATTCTCATTTGTCATAAGTATGAACATACAAAAGTTTGGAGTTTGCAAAATGCGTGTAAGTGTTAAAACTCAAACATCTAAAAATCCAGTGCACACCACTGCTCCTGCAAAACTGTTATAACAGATGCTTCGGTTGTTTATAACATTATGCATTTATTTACAAATTCTTTGTTTGCATAAAATAAATACCAATAAATAAAAAGTTGTTTGGTTTGACACTAAAAACTAATTGGATTTGTTTAAAATTATCAGCTTTTTTTTTATGAGTTTGTTTGTTCTATGCCATAATTGCATTGAGTACACTAAGCTCATTATACTCACATTAAGTTTGTTATTTTATTTGTTCAAAAAATTATTTTAATCACTTTAATTAATTTCGCACCTTAGAAGATTAAATTTATTAAAGAGTTTAAACTACTTTATCTAGGGAAACAAATTTGTTTAAAAAAATATAATTTAAACTACTTTATCATGGGAAACAAATTTGTTTTAAATACTCACTTTAAAAGCAGTCTCCTTGCAAGAACTTCAGCATGACTGTCATTCAAAATATATCCTTAAATACCAAAAATCAAATAACTAATCAAACCAATAAAAATAATTGATGTAAAAAATATACTAAAAAAATAATTAAGTATAAAAGAGATGAATTATAAGGTATGAAATAACAAAACAAAAACATAAAAAACATCAGTTTACTTCAGTTAAAACTTAAGCTTTTATTTCAGTATTTTATTTTTTTTGGTTAACAAAAATCCTACACATCTGTTGTTTTATTTAAACATCTTCACTTCCAACAAGGCTGCAAGGAACCACTATTAGAGTTGGAAGTTACTGGAAGAGAAACGTTTATTTAGGTATATTCATAAATATTTAGTTTTTGAAATATATGACATAATATAATTGTGAAAGTATTCAAAAATGAACATTAAATGGCAAAACTTTGAAATTGACTTTGAAGTCAACTAAAAGTCAATTTAGTTGAAATATAAGAATAAACTCTTTTTTGAAATAAATTGAAATAAAAATAATTTTTGTTTGAATTTTATTTTTCAATATCACATCATGCAAATATTAATAGAACAAAACAATATGAGAGCAGGTCACTTTGAAGATGGGAAAATATATTCCCAAGATTAATTTAATCTCACAATATTATGATTTTGAGGCTTCACTTTGTTTTTTGCCCCAGGGGCCCCAAAATGGTTCCGAATGACCCTATATGAAAGTATTTATGAAAATTACAAGTGTAGATTAAACAAACAAACAAAAAATGAAATACAAACCAAAAGTTACGTATAAAGTAGGTATACATATTGCTAACATGCTATGAAATAGATTAAATTTAAAAATAATAAACAAAAAAACTAGGAAGCATGTAAAAGTTGTAATACTACATCCTACAGTGGACTCTCGATATTTTGAACTTTCTTTCCGGTCTCCTGCGCACTTGTTTGAGCCAAAATCCTCTAGATATCTCAAACTTTTAAACTTTTTTTCCTGGTCCCCTGAGAGTTTAAGATACCAACTGTTTTGTAATAAAATAAACAAATAAATATTGAAAAAGCTAAATTCAATAAAAATGATATAAATTTTAAGATTATTATTAAGCTAAATCAACTTTTAGTCAATTAGTAAAAATTCCAAGTCAATTAAATAAGTCGATTAAATTGACTATTTAATCGACAAGTCAATTAAATTGACTATTTGGTTTTTCAAAGTCAAATAATTTCGACTTTAAACTTTTGGTCCATTTAGTCGATGCTGATAACAACACAACTTGAAATTTCTATTTATATTTGAGAGTTTTAAAGACATCAAAAACTTTAATTGTTGCGTTCCTACTTTTTCAGAAAAAAATGTTAATTCAGCACAAACATTTACTAAATCAAAAAAATTTAAAAAACAGAAAGCAAGAAAAGCAGGAAATTGTTTGAATTTATAATTAAATTTTGAATGAAGGATTAAATGATTTTGCATTGAATGAGCAATTACTTTCATAAATATAAGTTCTTCTATAGAAAAGACTTTTATAGAAAAAAAAATTTAAATAAAGATTGTCTTTTTTGATGTGAAAAAATAACTTTTAGTTTTTTTAATTATTTTAATTAATGTTAATATTTTAAGTTACTCAAATGCATAATTTTGCAAAAACTGCATCTTAATCAAACATTTTTCACAATGGATACATCAACATCAGTTAGTCATTTTTATAGCTTTAATTAATTGATTTTTAAACAAGTCAAAGGATACTCAAACATTGAAGATATAAGAAAAATAACAATTAAAAATCTTTTTTTGAGACTTCCAATCTTTACCATGCAATAGTGGTACAGTGGTAGAGTGCTTGCCTCAATTAAAAATCTTTTTTTGAGACTTCCAATCTTTAGCATGCAATAGTGGTACAGTGGTAGAGTGCTTGCCTCATAAGTGAAAAATTATGAATTTCATTCCCACCACATCCATGGTAGTATTGTGTTCCAACTGTTCCCAAATCGCCAAGGCTCATGTTTCAGAGTTAAAGAGTTAAGAGAGGGTTGTAATCATAATTAAAAAAAAAAAAAGTAACTAAGTGACTGTAGTGGCCCCTATGGCCTTGTAGGGGTAAATTCAGAGAAAAAAAAAAAAAAAAAAAAAAAAAAAATCTCTTTTTAATTGAATCAGTCATTTGAGGCAAAAGATATTCTGAACAAATTGTATACATTGAGTGAATAAATCAATTGAAAATAATCCATTATTACACAATTTTTTACATGACAAAATTTTACTGAATTTGATTTCCTTGCAAAATATCATCTCAAGTAGATGTTATTAAAACTTTGATATAACCTTTTTAAAAATTCAAATAAAGCGCCAATTATACCTGTTCTTGTTCGCATATTTTTCCCAATGCACTTGGTCCCTGTAGCTATAGATATTACCTTCAACTTCACATTAATATATATATATATATATATATATATATATATATATATATATATATATATATATATATATATATATATATATATATAAATATATATATACATATATATATATATATATATATATATATATATATATATATATATATATATATATATATATATATATATATATATATATATATATATATATATATATACAGGGGTCGAAATAAGTGCTGGACATTGCCGCCCCTCAGACCATTTTTGAGACCTGCTAAATGAGGGCAACCAACCACTGTTCATTTTTACTGCAAAAATGAACAATGGTTTGTTCCCTCATCTAGCAGGTCTCAAAAATGGTCTGAGGGGCAGCGAAATAAGTGCTGGACCACTTATTTCGACCCTTGTATATATATATATATATATATATATATATATATATATATATATATATATATATATATATATATATATATATATATATATATATATATATATATATATATATATATATATATATAATTATATATAAAACATAAAATGTATTATTTTATATCAATATTAAAATAATGTAATAAAAAATCAAGAATTTAAAATTAATCAAGCAATTTGGTTAAACAAAAACCTAAATGTAGAATTCAAAAAACCCCCTAAAAATTTTTTTATTTGGTTTTGAAGCCTTGGTAAATGCACAGTAAACGCCCACAGTAAATACTTGAAAAACAAGAAATTTAAACAATTCAACTTTAATGAAAGTTGATGCTTTATTCAAATGATTGTGATGATTTGTGATGGATTGACTGGGCTTGATTTTTTGCAGGTTTATTAAATGAAGCTCTTTGCTCTGTTTAGTATAAAAACTTTTCAAAAAAAAAAAGATTTTTATTATGCTGTATATATTATGAAAAAGTCGCTACCCCACCATAAAGGTAAAAATATATATAATTCATGTTCAAAATCAACTGAACTAGACCTAAATTAGGTTTAACCAGCTAAATTAAATAGTTAAAATGTTTTTATCAATGGCAAAATAGTATTTAAAATCTTATTTTAGAGGTAGATTTAAGAGTTTCCATAATAAATTTCAAAACACTGATCTTTCAATATTCAAAATATGGACCTTAAAAAAGTAGACTGATTTCAACTTTCTACCAAAGCATTTGAAGTTTCACTTATGATGTATTAACTTGAACATACAACTACATCCTTTGCATATATATACCCACATGATTGATCGAAATCATTTTGAATATGATCAAAGGTCCTTGCATAGTATGTTCCTCCTTGAGCCAAATTTTTCTACTTTTTGAAAAACCCTTTTTTGTCAAAAATCATTTTTTTAGAAATTTATGATCAAGTAATGAAAAAAGAAGCTCAAACTTGCGAAGGCAAATGTATAGCAAAAAAAAAAAGTGTAGCTTTACTCCATTTGTGGCCTTCCATAAAACAGCAAGGTTTTCTTATTAATGACATAACTTTATAAATAAACAAGCAAAGTTTTATCAAAGAAAAAACTAAAACTTAAATAAAAAAAAAAAAATAAATTAAATGATTATTAAAAATCTAAATTAAAACAAAATAAAATATCAAAAATATTCCTCAAAACAATTAAATCTCACAAATAAAATTATATACTTCACCGTCAGCATTTGTCTGAACAACACTACTCATTTTCGTCCATTCACGACCACTTTCAGGTTTACCTTTTTTACCCAACTTTTTATAAGCTTCATAACAGACTAATGCAACTTGATCTTCAAATGAACTACTCATTGCACACACAACGGTTACATCTTGAAAATACAAATAATTAATTAATCTAAAAACTTCTATATAGTTTCATTAAATCATTTTAATTCCATTTTTATTGAATACTATAGTTTGATAAAGTTTCCAATTGAAATACAAATATTACTAAATATACTAAAAATATCTTAATCTATTATTGGGTAACATATTCTTACAATCTCAAACTTTGAAACATATGAATAAAAACAAACATTTATTTATAAACCATTTTTCATTATTTAAACAAAAAAATTACAGTAATTTATTGCATATTTAATAAATTAAAAATTCTATGTTTAAACATATTTTACTCGGGAAACAGCAACATAAAATTCATTTGGAACTTGAGTATCATGATAACCAATTGGTCCAATCTCACAATCAGCACACGCTAAATACTTTATTGTACCTACATTATGTGAGAAACCGACATTCTCAAATGTCATCATATCATTTACCAACCAATATTCTGAAAGATATTCTACTTGGCTGTTATAACTGTCCTCGCTTTTGACTTTCATGTGAGGCAAAGGAAACTAAAAAAAATCATCATAATCATCATGTTCAGTTTTTTCATAACATTTTGATCATGATTATGATGAGATTATCAGGATCATAATCATTATATAACCATAAGACCCCCATGATCACATTATGATCATGTTTTTAACTACCGTAGGAAAATTAATATGATGATGATTATAATGATAATTGTAGTAATCATGAAAATATCATGATAATCTTAATACCACTTTTCCTTAACAACAACAAGATTTTAAAAAGAATAATTAGTTACATAAATTTAAAACAAATCCAAATTATTTTTATTTCAAAAATTTATTTTATTTAGACTGTAACTATTAAAAGTGCTGTAGATTTAGGATTGAATAGTTAACATCTTTATTAGGCTTTTAAAACGTTTTTATACGAAGGATAATAATATTTCAATTGATAAATTATTTTGCAATGGCTTTAAAGGACAAATTAAAATGTATCTTTAAAATTAAAATGTGTCAAAACAATTATTTTCAAAAATAAGTCAGACGTAGCAACCTACATTTTTATTAAACAACTATTGTTCAAAAAATTATAATTAAGATGTAAATGTTAGTAATTGATCACTTTTTTTGTATTATGATGCTTGAGTCAGGCATCTAGATTTGTTTCTTCAATCTCATGTTTACTTTATATAAATATGTTGACGTTCTTGTTGTTGTTATTTACCAAAAAGACTACCAAATGTTAACTCGATTTAATTATCTTTTTATACGTAATATTACCACTTTGATGAAAATTATTTGCTACAATTAATAATTTTTTAGATATAAAAATAGGAACCTACAGATTTATTCAAAAAATAACAAGCATGAGCTTTTAAAACTTTGCTTCCACAAAATGAACAAACTATTTCTTTTTCATTAGAATTGTCGCCTAAGGATATCGCAAGGTCAGTCATATTGGCTATTTAAACGCCAGTAGGATCCCGAAATGTCAGTCATATTTTGGCTAGGGAAACACAAAGCAGGAGAGACCTCAAGAATCACGGAGTTGAAATTATATTTACAACACCGCCAATTTTAAAAACAATTTTATGTAATAACAACCAAATTGTTTTTTGTAAAACTTGTTGCTGGCTATCTTAAGCAGTCTAACAAAACATATTGAAATAAATAATATTACAGCTATCGCTTCTTATAGTATCACATACTTAATGAAGCATGCCAATTATTATGAAAATACCAATCTGGGTGTATATATGGTTATGCGTTCATGCGGTGGCGATTATTTGGATGAAACAATAAAGGAAACTTTACTATGAAGTACCGAGTATCAGGTAAACACCATGAAAGGCAATTGGTATGTTTTTGGAATTACAGAACACTGCAAGGATTGCCAGGGCATATTTAATTAGATCCACCCCAAAACAATTGCAACTAACTCTAACTTCCATGAAAGAAAATTAAGAGAATTTTTTGAGCACAGTTATGCGCAAACGAATCTTGAGATAAAACGCTTTCCACAACTTTGTGAAAAAGACAACGGTGTTAGAAGTTCTAACACCGTTGTCTTTTTATAAAGTGGTGGAATATCACCGGATCTCAGAGTAAAATAACTTTTACCCAACATACGCGCAGTTTTCTAACGCATGCGCGTTTTCATAGTCTAAAAGTACGAAATTGTAAAAAAAAGGAGTATTTTAAATATTTTATACAGATTAAACACAGCGATTTCAAAGAGGGCAGGATAAATTTGAATCTTAAACCTTTTGACTGTGAGTCAAATGTTTGACCACTAGTCTACTACCAAATTAAATCTATGATGCACAAGAAGACTCTTTCAACTATAAATGATGTTAATAAATTGCATTAAATTAAAAACATGCTCAGAATATTTTTTACGAATCAAAGTCATAATAAAAATTTTTATGACAACTGACTTATTCAAAGTTGATAAGACAATATAAATGTTGTAAATTCTTTTTCATACTAACATGTTCAATATGTTACTTCAAAAACTAGTCTGCACAAGTTTACATGTAATCTACAAGTTTGCAACATGATGTTGCAAGTGTGAATTATCGTCAATCGGAATACTAGGAACACTTTTTAAACATTTTTGCCTTAAAGAAGAAAACTCTTAGCCTAATCAATCCCTTTTTTTTAACAGAACTTTATACTATCCAGCTTCTTGGAAAAGGTCTGATCAACACTTTCGGATGGATACGAAAAAATCCGGTCATTTTTAATTTGAGATTTCTCTAAAACCACATTTCTTTCTTTTATTTTTTAATTAAACATTACTTCCGAAAATTAAAGAAATAAGACGCGCAAAGTAGTTGGTTAAATTAATGGCGGATAAAAGTATGTGCATAATTAAAGACGACGAAACATATTGCAAGGCGGATTTTTAACAACTTACGGGTCAACAATTTTACTAAAGGTAAACAAAGACAAACATGCCGATGATTAATTTAAAAATATTCGACAAAAAAAATTTGCATCCAAGTTCTTTGTGTGGCATACGATTTGAAGCTGTGGAATGATCTTCTGGTTTTGTCACTAATAAGACCTTGAGTGCCGGTCTCTACATCAAAGAATGTCTCCAAAAAATGACTTTTGCCATTAATGAAAAAATAAAAATACCACTGTCTCTTTTGGCCAGATCTTGCTGCTTCTCAATATTCTAAAAAAGTTCTACAGTGGTACAAAGATAATAATGTGAAAATTGTTTTTAAAAATGCGAATCTTCCAAATCGTCCTGAATAGTGCAAGATTGAAAATATTTGGGCAATAGTTAAAGTTCTTCGTAAGACAAGTAAAGTAACAGAAAACAAAAAGGACTTCCAAACAAAGTGGATTAATGCCACCAATAAAGTGGAAAAAGAAAAATTTGAAATAAAAAGCATTTATGGTTCTAGAGAAATCTCAATTTAAATTTAATTGGATTTTCATGTCCACCAGATATGCAGTAAGTTTCTTAATTTTCTTACCTTATATGATCTTAAAGACATTCTTAAAATGGGGTGAGAATAATTAGCCGATTTGGGGTGACATTGAACACAATATATTGTTTTTATTTTTTAGATTATGGATAAATTTGTTTTGCAAGTGGATTTGTGCCTAAGCTTAGATTGTTCTTAAGGTTATCTTAAACAAATTCGTTAAGAACCATTATGGTGTTTTTACCACCAGGTTTTTTGTTTTTTTCTGAAAGATATTTTATCACCTCAGTTTTGTTTATTGCAGTGGTCCAATGGTCCAGTGGTCCATTGTGCGGTGGTCATATAAGTAATTGTTTGAAAAAATAAAGTCCACCATGCTTTTATGAAACTTGATCCCCAAGTTTTACTTTTTTATGTAGTGTTCCTTTTAAAACTTTATAAGATTTAGCAGCCACCCTTATGATAAGCCCATGGTTTTTCATGTTATTTAAGTTTATTACTAAACAAAAAAGATTGATTGAATTTTGGATAGTCCTATCAGAAGTTCAAACTAAAAATTATATTTTAAATATCATTTTGTATATAGGGTAACTTTACCTAATTTCGCCCATTACTCAATCTCACCCACCATCTTTAATTGCTTATATGTCAGTTAACTCACACGCTGCATCATCAAATAGACGTTCTTTTAGAACAGCAAACCACCCTTATTAACATCAAAACTACTTTGACTTCAAAAGAATCGCAAAAAAAAAAAAGGGTTTCTTCCCAGTGGGCACGGACGTTAAAAAGACGTCTTTTAAACGTCTTTTGAACGTTTTGGACGTCTAATGAACGTTCAAAAGACGTCTTTTTTACGTCCGGTGCCCACTGGGTTAAAAAAAATTGTCGGTTTTTGGTAATTTCTTTGCTACTTAATTTGCCGAATTCAAACCAGCTGATGCAAATCTACCGAGTTAATTATTTATTTTACATGTTAATTTACATGTTTTACATTTTAAATTATACTTTAGTTATATTATGTTTAATCTCTAATTGTAATAACATTTATAATCGTTTGAAATCGTAGAATATGCATAAAATTGTTTCCTGCTCAACCTACCAAATTAACTCAATCTCGCCAAGAAAATATATGTATTGTCGTTCAATCTCATTTAATCTCGCCCGGGTGGGCGAGAATAGATGCAGCATAATATATTAAGAATTACGCTACCAGCAGGTTTAACAGAAAAAACCTATCGCCGTGACCCCAATTATTTTTTCATTAAATTGGGATGACATATTTAAGAAATATTTGAAAAACAAAATCATAAAATTTCGTAAGGATACATATTAGATGCATAATCTTTTTAAATGCTTACAAATGAGTATTTTTTATGTATTTTTATTCTATATATTATTGAGGAAATTATTTTATAAATTAATTACCCTAAATTTAACATCCTTGGCATTATCGTAAAAATGAACCCCAAACTTACTTGATAATTGCTTTGACAAAAATTGATGATATCCACATTATTTTTTTTTTTATTGCTGTCAAAACAATACTCTACCTCTGTGTATTGTTATTAAGGAAAATAATTAAAAAATAAATTGCTATGGCTCTGCGTTGAGTAATTGTATAAAAAGCTCATGTTCATCAAAGCCAAATAAATTAGCAAGATAAAGAACAAAGAAAGAAAAGCAAATAAGTAAACTTTGTCTGCTATTGCATTTTCTTTTCCTGATAATTATTGGTAAAAAAGAATTTGGAATTTTATCTTTTTATGCTATGTTTTTTTTTAGAAATAATTTTTTAGTGTTTAGATATAATGCATATTTTATTTAGTTTCAATTAAAGAACTAGTGTTTTAGTTATTAAAATAACTAAAACATTAGGTCTAAAACGTTAGGTTCAAAAGGTCCAAAACTCAATTTATGCATGATAAGAATGTTTTTTTTTCTTCTTTAATTGACTTTTGTAATTTACTTAGCGAAAACTTCTTTACTTATCTTAGCTAAATCCTTCTCTACAGTGTAAATTAAGTACTGCGAAGTTCTAGAGTTGAGATAAGGTTACAAATACTAACATATGATTTTCACCACGTGTTAATATTTGTAGCTCTTGTAAATTTGGAGCACTTTATTAAATTAATATGACATTTATACTGCAATTTAATTAATCTAGGTATTATCTTTAAAAAAAACATGGTTAAAACAAGAGATGGGGGATGTAGGTCATCACCTTGATTTCACCGGATGTCGTTTGGAAAGATTGTTTCTGTAACAGAAGCAATATGTTATAACAAAACTCATCTTCATGATGGTATAACTCCATCAACATCTGGTAGTAGTACTCTTGACATTTGTCAAATAAAACAGCTACCAACAATTGATGTTTCTTTAACTCGTGTCAATGGTTCCAATCATTCCATGATCAATCAGTCACTGTTAAGAAAAGAAGAAAAATCCTGAAATGGAGTGAAGAAAATATGATGAGTGCAATTAAGCATGTCAGATCAGAGCCATCATTTTCAGTGTGTAAGGCAGCAATATTGCACAGTGTGCCACGTACAACACTGAGAGACAGACTTTCTGGAAAAGTTGTAATTGGAGCAAAGCCAGGAACAAAATCTATCTTACCTTTTGATCTGGAAGAAAAACTTATCGATTATGCGAGCAAAATAGCAAAGTTAGGGGTAGGTTTTGGAAAGTCACAGTTACTGATTTATGCTGGGAAACTTGCCGCAAAACATAAATTCAACTTCAAGAAAGGACTTCCAAGCAAGCAGTTCGCGCTTCCGGGAATAAAATGGAGCTGGTCCGATAGTGGTTGGACTAAACAGGGCCTAGCAAAACTATGGTTTAACAAAACATTTTAAGAAAAGATAGGTCCAAAACGTCCTCAGTTATTGATTCTGGATATGCACAATTCTCACAAGTTTATTCAGCTAATTGATATTGCTATCTAGAACCAGATACATATAGTTGAAATTCCTTCACACACATCAAACTGGCATGCAAGCGCACCTTAGTTTCCAGGAATTATTACTTGTTTAAATTTTGCAGGGATATTTGCT